GAGTCTAAAAAAGCCGCACTGCCAATGTCTCGCTCTAGGAACTTCAGTCTCAATTTTTATGATTTAGCAGTCGATGATTCGCATGATGAGGAAGAGCTCAAGCGTTGGATTAAGGAAGACCCCAGCAGAGGAGCAATAAGGGTTTATCAACCAGGATCCACTTACTCAGAGCTCACTCAGTGCGACACTGAGACCCATGCTGAAGTCATAATGTCGAAATGTGTCACTAGTAATTTGTATGTTTATTATGCTGGACACTCATCTGAGCCTCTGGGGTACGACGATTGCCCGTTGAAGATTCAAAATAAGTTTCTCAAGTCCCTGGGCTATGATGACCCTGAGAGGATACAGTTTGAAGGGACAAGAGATGATCTGCTGTACATGTTCAAGTTTGTAGCTGGTAAGGATGACACTCACACTCACACATGTATAGATACTGGTCTTTAAATCTGGTATTATTATATGTGCTAGCAAACCTATGTAGAATGTACTGTGGTTTTTACAACTGTTAGATTTTAAGTTGAAATATATGCATATAGATATTAAATGTACCTTATTGTAGGAGGCCTACATGTCCTAGCTTTGAGGGCATTGACTAATATTAACTTTGTGGTTTTTATAACTCCTTGTATGATAAGTTAATGCTATTGCAGTATATTTTAGGGAAAAATAAAAATACCTACATGTATATCTGGGCAGCAGTGTGACATATGATATACATATTAGTTGCTTCAGTTTCATTTAATACTTTTGATTTATTACTGAGCACTAACTGCTAGAGCCCATATTATGCTTCTCATTTTATTTTTAATATAATTGATTTCTTCCATTCTTCTTCCTTCTTTTCTCTCTCTCTCTCTCTTGTAGGCAGAGAAGAGAATAAAGCCGATGAGAGGGTTCAGCTAACATGCACTGTCAAATTCAAAGAGTCCAGTCCATTCAGTTTCTGGTCTAAGAGATTCTGTGTTCTGTGTGGCTGTCAGCTCCATGTCTTCTCATCCAGTACTCCTAAAGGGAAACCCTCTCTCACTCTTGATCTTGCTGGTGGCAATGTCATTGAGTATGAGACAAAGAAGCACTTGTACTGCGTTCAGATCATGTCTTCCAAAAAGACGGTTTTCCTCTCTTTTGATAGTCGCTATGATCAGTCAGTCTGGCTTAAGAGAGCAGCAAAGGTAAGCAGTAAAATAATAACTTTTAACTATACACATAGAAATAATTGCATGTACTAATTATTTTAGTAAATTGAAACAAAGATATTTAAATGCTATAACATTAGCTTATCCATTGTGATAATTTTATCAACATTTTTCGGTACATTTTGTGAATGTTTTGTGGCTCTTTTATCTCAAATTACATGTATTTACACCTTGTCCAGCTAAAGTGCAAAGAATTTTATTAGCTACTAATTTATGCCTTAAATCGATCAACAGAATACCACTAACTCTTTTAAATAATCATACTTTCATGTACTTTTTTCCTGTCATTATTCCTCTTTCTCTCTCTCTTTCTCTCTCCTCAGGTTGTCACTAAGCATCCATTAGAAGCTGATCTCTCTCGCTGCAGTCTTAACCGACTACCAAAATACCTCTTCCTCAATAAGAATCTTGCTGCTCTTAATCTCTCTCACAATTTCATGCTTGAGCTGGTTGAAGATTCTTCGGTAGCATACCAACCCGAAGGCTGGATCAACGATATTTATCGTTTCTCAAACCTCAAGATCCTCTCCCTCAGTGACAATAATTTGGTTCATTTCCCAGTGTCTGTATGCAACATAGTGACACTATCAGAACTGGATCTCTCTTGCAACAAGATAAGAGTTATACCACAGGACATACAGAAGCTAAAAAAGTAAATTTCTTTATAGTGTGCAATCTTAATTTGATATATCTTTTTCTCACACTCTCCCTCCCTTTCTCACTCTCTCCTCTCTTTCTCCCTCTCTCTGTCTCTCCCCGTCTCCCTCCCTCTCTCCCTTCCTGTCTCCCCCCTCTCTCTTTCCCCCTATCTCTCTCTCTCACCCTTTTCTTCTCCTCCCTCTGTTTTTTTAAAGGTTAACTACTCTGCTGTTACATTCTAATCTCATATCCACACTACCTTATCATCTGAACAATCTTCAAAGACTAACAACACTTGTGATTGCATTCAACAGGTAAAGGAAGAGTATACACACGCAATCTATTCAATGTATGTATATGTACATGATACATGTACATGTATATGTATATAAAATTCAATGTTGTGTAGAATTAGCTGTAGCAGCTAGTATACATGTACATGTACATAGTACATAAGCCAATTTGTGTAGATAATATCAGGGAATTTTGAAGAGTTATTTGTTATATTTAGTTATGTAAATATTATAATAATTTTGTTGTCATTACGTGTGTGTGTATGTGTTTTATTTTTAGGTTCAAGTCAGTCCCACACATTGTAAAAGAGTTGGAGTCATTGAGGATCTTAATAGCAGCAGGAAACAGCATAGTGTGAGTAGAACATAATATATGTATACATTGTTCCTCATGTAGATGGTCATACTGTATGAATGACATTTTTAATATGTACATGTACTTTTGTATTAAAGTAAACAGGATTCAGTTTAGTCTCTTACAGTTTCCATAGCGATGTACATGTACATGTAAACAAAATGTTTTCTATTAATAATGAAAAAAGGAGAAGAAATGTACATGTATGTATGTTATGTATAAAAAGATGAATGTAGGGTAGGTGGTTGTAGTGTTTAGCTTATGAGCTGTGACTAAGAATTAATAGTATTTTTGTATTTTCCTGTTTTGTTTTGTCTGTAATTATTTTTGTAAATTCACTGGTCAGCTATGCTACTGTGTCTACCATCAATACCTGTATTTATATTAAATAATAATAATAATAACAATAAACAATTTAGGAAAGGCAAACTTTTTGTAAATAATAAATACTGCTTTAATGAAAAAATCACAATAAATAAAATTAAGAATATTTAATTAGTGTACCATGAACAGTATTATTATGTCTATAAATATTCAATATACTTATTAATTAATAATAATTATTATTAATTTAATTGTACAGTTCAATTCCAGAGGACATCAACAGGATTCAGACGCTACAAATACTAGATCTAAGAATGAACCACATATCAACAAACATACCCTCAACACTGCCAGAGCTCCTCATCTTCTTCACTCTTAACTTACGAGGAAATGAAATGACTGAGTTTGATATGAGACGAGCCAAGAACCTTCACGTTGTCAATTGTTCCGATAACCTCATTAAGACTCTCTCACTGCATAAAGGAAGAGTGAGTATGATCAATGCTAGAAATAACTGTAAGTGAATATAATGGGCTGTATATAC